GACTGTGAGAGGGGCAAGCTTGGCTGAGGGACCGTGCCCCACCCCCGCCCCAGTGCACAAATTTCGTGCACCGGGCCTCTGGTTTAGTATAAATTTTTGGAATCTTTTTTGAAATAACTAATGTGGTTATGTTTTGTCAAATATGTACTAAGTAGAGAGTTTCCTATTAGTGCAAATGTGCTTAGAATAACAACATAAGACACTGTTTTATGAAAGTAACAGTAGTTCACTTCGTTATAACTATCAAGAAACAAGTATATAACATAAAACTCACTTTTATTTGACTTTTACATTTATCTAATGATATATAATTTAATGACTCTTCATTATGAAAATCACTAAAAAATAACAATTTGGAAATATATATTTAAATTTTGATGATGAGTTTCTCTATGTCAGAAAGAAAGACCAGATATCCTGAACAAATATTTTAATTTAAACAAAAAGTCCTAAATATCTCTCACACACATACACATGCACACACACACACACACATGCACACACACCTCACAGGAAAATAATGCATATTAACTGAAGCAAAAACAAAAACTGACAATAGCAACATAGAGAGAGATAAGCACTTTATAAACTCGTTATTTGCTTCTGGCATGATTTTGAGGTTTCATTTTTCGGATGAGTGCATAATTACAGGAGAAAGGCGACAAAGCCACCACACATACAAAGCTGGGTGACTCGCGGGGGATGCCTATTTAAAGCCAATGTCCTGGAGTGTGACATGTTCAGTCAATGAGAGAAGAAAGAGGCTCCACACAGACAGGAAAATAAGCAGACTTCTCTGCTTCGAATTTAGCACCGGGGCTATGGGAAGTATTAAAGTAGATAGTCTGCTGAGAATTCAAAACCTCAAACTGATATATGGATTAGATTTGTGACTTAAATGTCATCGTACTTTCAGTTCCAAGCAATCGGAAGGTGTAAACTGTTTTTAAATTTATTTCTGATTTTTAATGCTTACAGTTGGCAGAAGCAATCATAGCTTCTCTCTAAAGAAACTCTCCTTAAATACAGGATTCAAATAAGTTTTTATTAATAAAGACTCAGAGCATTAGAAAATATAAGGGAAAAAGCACTATAATGAGACAATAAGACCAAGCTGAAGTATGGAAACAAAGTCAGACTTCCAGTGTTTTCAGGTTTTAGAAGGATTTCAGGAATGGAAAGCCAGTATGTGTGTGAGTGTGTATGTGTATGTATCTGTGTGTGTGTTTGTATGTATCTGTTAGTATATGTCAGTGTGTGTGTGTGTGTGTGTGTGTGATTCAAAATAAGTTTTAGGAAGAGGAGACTATGAAAGATGGCCAAACAAATTAAGAAAATAACCAAATGAAACTTCAAAAAATGAAAAATAATGTTGAAATGTATCATCCAATTAACATCAATTAGAGATAATAAAATAAAGAATTGGTAAAATTAAGGAATAACTAATGAAACTACACATTAGACCATGGAACCAAATATGGGGATTATGCAGGATATTATGAGAAACATGAAGGATAGCTTGAGAGAATATTTGTCAAAGCAGTCTTAGTATCTATCAATTAGAGATATCTCTCCTTTTTATATCATCTAATGTCTTTCAAGAAGGGATTAAAAATTTATCCAAGGATTTTAATTTTCTCCAAGAAAAATGTTTTGTAATAGTTTTATTCTGAATACCTTCTTATAAAATTGATCTGTAAATTAAATGTCATTCTAAATAAAATTATGTTTTTCTGTGAAACCTGACATTTATTAAATTAATATAGAACCAAAAGGATCAAGAAGAGCGAAGACATATTTAAAAAATGAACAATTTAAGATATTGACTAAATCAAATAACAACTGTCATATAACATTAGCAATTAAGACAATATGGCCTTGTCACTGAGATTGTCAAGGAAGAGTCCAAAGAAAGAAAATAGAGATCTACAAACAAATCCACATAAATATAAGAACTATATAGATAGAGCTGTATTTGCAGATCCATGGGGGAGAGGATGGGTTATTAATAATGCTTTGGGAGCACTTGATTATCCTTTTGAAACTATTTGAAATTTTTGACTATAGTAATCTCAAATCAGTTCTAGTTGGAGTAAAGATTTGTGTGCAAAAACAAATATTTTCATATATTTGAAGGAAATAATTGATCTTTATGATATAATGACAAAGATGTAAGCAATTAATACAGGGCCAAACAATAAACAATAAAGAGAAAATGTGCAAGCATGTAGAAAGTTATTGAGAAATTTGACTCCTGCAAATTAAGATTGTTTTCAACCTAAACATCCTATAAAGTACAAAGATAAATTATAAACTTGTCTTCACTAATGCAAACTTGAAGGTATATGTAACACATAGAACTGACAAAGGATTAGAATGAAGGATATGTGAAAAATCTTCTAAACACAACTTAAAATCTCCATAATTACCCTGTAAAATGAGCAGAAGGCATAAATAAATATTTTCTACTAGAGAAGATAAGAATGGTTAATAAACCTATCAAAATACACTCAATATTACTGGTATTCAGGGAAATTCAAATTAAAAAGAAACAATAACATTGTTTTTAATCTGTTGAATTGACAATCCCCAAAGTAGACATAAATCAAGTTATTAGAGTGCATAGAACAAAATTTGTAATTTTGCTTGCTGGTAAGAGGTAAAGTGGTATAATCTCTTTGTGAAACAATTTGTCATTACTCTTTTTTCCCTTTTAAATTTGAAATGTCCACACTTTATAACCTAATACTTTCAGCTGTAGGAATAGAATTGCTGAGAAGCTCTTTTTAATGTGAATGAGAAGACATAAGTATTCATGGCTAAATTTCTTGCAATAATAAAATATAAGAATTAATATATATGGCCGCTGACAGAACAATAAATATATAAATTGAAGTATATACACAGGAATACTATGTAGCACTGAACATGAACTATAATTAAATGCACAAACATGCAAAATTAAAGATCCAATAGAAATGGAAAACAAGATTCAAGAACATGGTTACTCTGTGGATGGGATAATGAATGGGATGGAATTGGGCCTTAAGAGTCATGATTATCGTTATTATAGATAGTATGTACATAGGTGCTTATTTCTCTTTGTCTTTGGTGGTCCACATATTTGGTCATGCTTCTCATTGAGAATTTACATTGAATCACCAGCTTTACCAGGACATCAACCTATCAGTTTGTTTACCTGCAAAGCTAAGAACATACTTGACACATAATTATCATACAAAAATGGTTGCTTAAATAATAGTCTTTAATATTTCTAAACTATTCCATTTCTACTTAGCATTTAAGATGAAATGTCTTTTGTTGCCATAGTGAATTGTTGGTGCTTTACTCTAATAGGAATTTAATTGGACAGACTTTTGTTATTTTCTAACATGCAAAGGTCAGTGATATTTTAATATTTTTGGTCAAATATGATAAACATTATCATGATTTTCCATGACATTTCACTTCATTATCTGCCTATATTCTTCAAACACTTCAAAATCCAGGCAATTAATGGAATTCATGAAATATTGATGGGGAAGTATATACTGTACTAGAGGCCTGGTGCATGAGATTCGTGCACTGGGGAAGGGGAGGGTGCAGTCCCTCACCCCAGCCTGCACTCTTTCTCAGTCCAGGACCCCTTGGGAGATGTCCACCAGCCGGCTTAGGCCTGATCCCTTGGGGGGTTGGGCCTAAGCCGGCAGTCAGACAAACCTCTTGTAGTCTGGGGCTCTAATAGACCAGGACCCCTCGCTCCTTACCACCCACCTGCAGCCTTGCTCCTTACCACCGCCACTGCACTTGCCAGCCATGAGCCCATCTTCAGGCTCAACAGCGCGCCCCCTGTGGAAGTGCATTGATCATCAGGGGGCAGCTCCTGCATTGAGCATCTGCCCTCTGGTGGTCAGTGCACGTCATAGTGACTGGTTGTTCCACTGTTCAGTTGATTTGCATATTGCACTTTCATTATATAGGAGGATAGAGGTAGACAGACTTCCATGATCCTCATAGTCATAAGTAGCTTATCCACAAAATGAAGGAAATTTCATATTAAAGAATGTAATAAAATGGAAAAAAATGAAAAATAAGTGAGATCGAAAACATCTCTAAATCTAGTGCTTGCCCAAATAAATGGCTCCTCATGACCATTTTGAAATAGTTTTCTTAAAAATCAAAGAGGAATTCTAAGACCAGAGCTTTGACATTTAAAATATTTTCTTGTAATGTCCTTCCTCTCTATTGAGTCATTAGAACATTCTATTCTGATCCAACCATGTGGAATGTTTAATTGACTTAATCTTGGGTTTTAAATTAGGTTCACAACATAAGAATCAGAATTCCAGCCCTGCCTCTTTGGTCTTTATTAACTTCCTCCTTTAACAAAAAGAGTTCACATCATGTCACATTTGGTCCTAATTTGCAGGTGGAGACTGTGTTCTTCATAAACAAGAGAGTTTACAATTCTTCCATGTTCCTCTTTTGTTTTCTTTCTAATTTCTCTTCTTCAGGTTATACTTCTCAATGGAATCTTTCTTCTGATGAAATTACCTTTCCAATGTTTATATTCTCCCTCATTCTTTCAGACATTTGTTGGCAATCTAATTTATTTCCCAAATCATATCCTCTTTTACTTTATATTTATTGCTCTGAAAAAACACAATCTCAAGAAATCAGTGAGCATTTTCTTACACTTTTCTGATACTGTATCTTGAGCTTATAGTTAGTGTTTTAAGATACCCATGTTTATAAATAAAGAAGGATGAAGAATGGGCATGGTGATAATTAGAAATTCTGGACACTGTGCCTGTCCTCCCCACTCCCCACTCCCCACTCCACACCTACTTTCCATTATTCTTTATTTGGTTATCCTAAGCTAAATATATTTTAGCCACTGGAATGGCTCAGAGTAGGCTTAGATGAGTCAATGCATGTTGAGGACAGATTTTCTGGGCACATTTGGGACAGAATATTTTTGTATTTAAGAGAGAACTATAGTGCTCACTTTGGCAGCATGTATACTAAAATGGAATGACAAAGAGAAGATTAGCATGGCCACTGATCAAGGATGACACACAAATTGTGAAGTGTTCCATATTAAAAAAATGAGAGAGAACTATTACAGCAATATGTTCTTTCTCTGACTAGATGTGAACCCCCAAACATGTAGCTTTAATCTCAGTGGCATGTACATGGTGAGGGGGACAAGCTTTAGAGTAAACCTAACACTGTGCCCTTGAGGAGAGTTAGGAATCTGAGTCTGTGATAACACCTCTGAGCCTCTGGTTCTGCTGAAGCCCCTCCTCACCACAGATTCCTCTTCTGTCAACTGATAATTTTTCTTATTCTTTTAAGCCATTTTAAGTTGGACTTCCCATTACTTGTAGTCAGAGTAATGCTAAGGGTTTCATTAGCCTTCATAAAGTGTCCATTATGTGTCAAATCCTGAGATTGACATTTTACATATTTTATAACTCTAACTATAGGCCCGGTGCACAGATTTGTGCCCTGGTGGGGTCCCCCAACCTGGCCTGTGCCCTCCCGCAATCCGGGACCCCTTGGGGGATCTTGGGCTGCTGGTTTCTACTCAATCCCTGCAGGCCAGGCTGAGGGACTTCAACAGTGCACAAATCCATGCACCAGGCCTCTAGTAAGCATATAAGATTTTTGATTAAACTCTTCCCTCCTTCCCTCCTCCCCGCTTCCCTCTGAGATTCATCAGTCTCTTCCATGTGTCCATGCCTGTGCATTGAGTGTCTGCCCCCTGATAGTCAGTGCGTGTCATATCTACCAACTGAACGGTTGAACGGTCACTTAGGCTTTTATATATATATATATAGATTAAGGTTCCTCGGCCTGGCCTGTGGGGATCGGGTCAAAACCAGCTCTGCAACATCCCCTGAGGGGTCCCAGATTGCGAGAGGGCAGTTCTCTGGTGATGCATCCCAGAATCGGGCTTCCTCCTCTCTTCTCCCAATATTATGTCACTTTCTCTCTGTATCTGTCTCGCTTCTTTCATCTCACTTTACCCTAAGTTTGGTGGTAACTGACAACTTGTGGGCATTTAGCTGAAAAATGCAATTATTTAGCAAGCAGGATTGTCGAGTAACACTCCCTCCATGTTCTGCGTGGAGTAGGGTTCGGTATCTGAAAGTGGGGCCGCACACAAATGAGAGAGAAATGACACAAGATAATTTTGCAATATTGGAGGACCAGGCGGGCAAGTCCTGAAGGACTTCCACCCATGCTCAGGCTGCTCCAATCTTTTATTGATCTGGAGTAGCCCTTAGGGTAAGGAGGTTTCAATGACACAGATCAGCAGACAATTTCCAGGAATAGACAAAGTATCTGATTAGCTCATCAATAGATGATTTCCAGGAATAGGCAGAGTATCTGATCAACAATAATCAACAAGGATCTACATAAGTATCTAAGGAATTAAGTGAACTAAGGTGGGGATGATGCTTCAACTATTATTACCTAAATTAACTGGGTGTTTCCTAGATTAACTGGGTGGTACACAGTTCTGACCTTTGCTAGGACTTCAAAGGTTGCTAGCTTTTGGGGGTCTCTGTCTAAACTCAGCTAGTGAAGACAATGAATGGACTCCGGCACAGGATTTATTTAGCCTGAAATCTGGTCAGCCTAGGGCAGGACCCTATTCAATGTCAGGCTCCCGCCCAGGGCCTTTCCACCCAGGTGGAGTCCTGTGGTGGCAGAAACCTCCTTCTTCCGACCTTAGCTGCTCCTTCACCTCCTTCCCTCCCCAAGGTTGCCCGCTGGCACTACTGTCCGCCCAGAAGGAGGGGAGCTGTGGCTGGTTTCCCAGGTGAGAGTGGTAGCAGGAAAATTCACTGCCTCCACTGGAAATCAATATTAAGCGGATGGGCCTGCATGGGCGCCAGACGTTGGGGCCGCAGCCAGTAGGTCCTGCACATCTCATCATTTAGCTGATTGAGTCGAAAAGTTTCTGTAAGGGGCAGACCCATGACCACTGCAATGGGCTAGAGCAGCCGTTCTCATCCTGTGAGTTGCAACCCCTTTGGGGGTTGAATGACCCTTTCACAGGGGTTGCCTAAGACCATCGGAAAACACATATATAATTACATATTGTTTTTGTGATTAATCACTATGCTTTAATTATGTTCAATTTGTAACAATGAAATTGGGGGTCACCACAACATGAGGAACTGTATTAAAGGGTCGCGGCATTAGGAAGGTTGAGAACCACTGGGCTAGAGGCTGGTGGGGAGCCAGACCCGAAGTGGGAAGCCAATGGGCTAGAAGCCCGGTGCACGGATTCATGCACCAATGGGGTCCCTTGGCCTGGATTGGGTCGAAACCAGCTCTCCGACATCCCTTGAGGGTCTCGGATTGTGAGAGGGCAGTTCTCAGGTGACACACCCTGGAACTGGGCTCCCTCCTCTCTGGTTCCAGGTGCATCACCCGAGAACCGCAGCTGCCAAGTCACCGCAGCTCGGCAGCTCCTGCATTGAGCATCTTCTCCCTGGCGGTCAGTGTGCATCACTGGTCGGCCGGTCACTTAGGCTTTTATATATATATATCTATCTATCTATATATATATATATATACATATATATATATATATATAGATAGATAGATATATATATATAGATAAATAGATAGATAGATAGATATATAGATATATAGATATATAGATATATATAGATATATATAGGCATTGCTTAAAAGCAGATCTCTCAGCCTCAGCAATATTGATTTGGAGGCCAGGTAATGAGCTGCTATGGGAGATTCCTGTACATCACAGTGTGTTTAGCAACATCCCCGGCATTTTTCTGCTAGATGACAGTAACACCTTCCTGTTGTAACAACTAAAAATATCTCCTGGTAGTGCCAAATATCTTCTGGGAGACAAAATCACATGTGATTTAGAAAAACTACGTTAAAGGATAGCATATTTATCTAACTTATACATGAAGAAACCGAGAATGAAAACACTTTAGTGTGAATGGATCAAAGACTATAAAACTAGCCGAACTGGTTTGGCTCAGTGGATAGAGCATCGGCCTGCGGACTCAGGGGTCCTAGGTTCGATTCCGGTCAAGGGCATGTACCATGGTTTCGGGCACATCCCCACTGGGGGACGTGCAGGAGGCAGCTGATCGATCTCTCTCATCGATGTTTCTGGCTCTCTATCCCTCTCCCTTCTTCTCTGTAAAAAATCAATAAAATATATTTTTAAAAAAAATAAAAAATAAATAAAAAATAAAACTAGAACATGCAGGCAGCAAGGCTTGGATCCAAGTGTTTGTAATCCCCAAACTTTAACTCTTTAGCTTCATTAATCAATGCACAAAGAAGTACACTTACTACATATATAGCCATAGGAAGGTATTTATTCAAATACAAAGTGGTGGTTGCTAGTACTGTTAGCATTTTGATATATGGTACCAGTACATTGAAAACCCACTGCTCACCAGGCTGCATTCACAAATGAACTATTAATGTCCCACACTGGGCTGTGTTATCCTTTTATTTAGATGAATCTCTGCAAGCCCCACAACTTCTTCAGTTATTGCTAGATAACATGTGTTTTTTATTTTAAGAATATTTTACTTATAATAACAATGTAATTTCAGAAATTAAATGGCCAGTCGAATATAATTTTTCAATTCCTTATTTTAATTTAATTTTTCTCCTTTCCTATAACTCAGTCTTCTTTCAGGCTAGAAACTGCAGTGAGGCAGAGTGGGGATTGTGTTCAGTTTTTCTCTTTTTTCCCACTTCTCTTTCCCCTCCTGCTCTACTCACTGTTTTGTGGCTCCTAGTCTGAGGCTAGAGTTTGGAAAGGAAAGAGAGTTGAAGACAAGGAACAACTTGGCTTGCATGGTTCTTATGTTCTTTGATATTAGTGTTCTCTGAGATTGGTGGATATGCTAAACTTTCCTTTTGAGATATTTTGGAAGATAATCAAAGATAATGATTTCTCTCATAATTACAGAGGTAATGCATTTGCTCTGGGTTGTCATGCATAACTCTTTTTTTAACCCCCAGACATTTCCTATATTTGGATAAACTAAATTAAACTCAGTCTTACTAGATATCAAGGTTTCACATCTAATCAGCTGGAAATAGGTACTTTTGACTCAGCATTGTTAGAAGTATAAACCTCTCTGCTTTGTATGTCTCTAGCCAATATACTTCTTACTTTTAGAATTTTCCAAGCTTCAGTCCAGTTTCAGTCTCAACTTCTATAACATTTAAGTGACACAGGTAAATTCCTAGGAAAAGTTTCTCTCATGATTGCCACTTACCTTGAGAGGGAGGTAATCATATCCCTTCTCTCTTGTATGAGATGTCAGAGGGAAAATGCCACAACATTCCTACAACGTTCAAAAAGGAAAGTCTCTCTGCTTGTTTGTTCACATCCAACCTCTTTCCCTAGAAGGGGGTAAGTCAAAAGTCACTGGATTGGTTTAGATCACTAATATCACAAGACCAGCATTCATGGCTCTTCACTGAGGACTACGGGGATACTTGTCACCTTTGTGTTGTTCTCAGCTTTTGTGACTTCTCCCAAAACTGAGACAGAAAGCATCCGCTGTTAGCATCTTGTTAGGCACCGATCAAGAATAGACATGTTACAATGCATATATTGAGAGATAAGGGAACTGACTATGGTCTTGCATTTTTCTCTTAACTTAGTCAATTTGGAGAAATTATGTGGCATTTTAAGCCTCAGGTCCCTCATCTGCCAGAAGAAACACCGTATATACTTTACTGGCCTTAATTGCCTGACAAATAGTAGGTTCATAATAAGATGGTCATGGGAGGTAGTACTAGAATAGGTGCTTCTCTGTCTTGGAATTTGAAATATCATTAGTCTAAGTGACCATTGAGCTTAATGAAATTAGCCAACCATATCATTAAATGTCAAGTTATGTACCTGTCCTTTGATTTGTTTGACATGGATTAGAAGGGGCAGAGAAATATATCTTTTGCTAAAATCAGGCAAAAATGCTATTTATTGTAACCATTTTAAGCCTACATATTACATGTACTTAACTATATTGTACATTTTGAAAAGTATACATAAAATGATTAATTTCTGAAATTCGAA